GAATCGGGGAATCCGGCCGGACCCCCCCCCCCCTCCAAATCGACCGGACCGGGCTCCCGGGGGAGGGGTTTGGGGAGGGGGAAGATCTCACAGGGCTTTATAGCCCCATAGCCTTATAGCCTTCTTGCCCTATAGCCCTAGAGCCCTCGAGCCCTATAGCTCTATAGCACTGTAGCCCTATAGCCCTAACGCCCAGTAGCCATATAGCACCACAGCCCTATAGCCCAATAGCCCAATAGCCCGATAGCCCTATAGCCCTATAGCCCTACAGCCCTATAGCATGTGTGTATATATATATATATGCCTACAACCCTTTAGCCCTCTATCCCTAAAGCCCTAAAGCCCTGTGGTCGTGTAGCCCTATAGTCCATAGCCCTATGGTCTCATAGCCCTATTGCCCTTTAGCCCCATAGCCCCATAGCCCACAATCCTATAGCACTACAGCCCTACATCCCTATAGCCCTTATGGCCCTATAGCCCTATATCCCTACAGCCCTATAGCCCTATAGCCCTATGGCCCTATATCCCTATATTTCCATAGCCCCATAGACCCATCGCCCAGTAGCCTTATAGCCCTAACAAGACTTTGATTGGGGTGCTTCTCCAGTATCATGTATGGTTCTTGTGTCAGGGAACGTAGCCCTGCGCACAGCAGGGAATTCTTTACGCTTCGCGTATCCCCACCAGCCCATCTCACAGCAGCAACTCTCGCGAAGCATGCCGACAGTCGTGTTTTTCAGGCGTGTGTCCGCTTGGCCCCGCATATCTCCCCTGTTCCTCCTTCCTCCCGCCTCCTTGTACATCCTCCTTGTGAGGGGAGCGGGAGAAGGACGAGGCGGAGGAGGAGGGAGAGAAAGCGCTCATCGTGATTTGAGTCGTTTGGGGTTTCTCGTCTTGGTGTGAGTCGTTCGGGCCCTTCTTCCTGGTGTGAGTCGTTCGGGGGTGTGAGTCGTTCGGGCTTCTCGTGGTGTGAGTTGTTCGGGGTGTGAGTCCCCTCGGGCCCCTCCTCCTGGTGTTCGGGCCCCTCCTCCTGGTGTGACTCGTTCGGGCTCCTCGTGGTGTGAGTCGTTCGGGGCCCGCGTCGTGGTGTGAGTCCTTCGGGCTCCTCGTGGTGTGAGTCGTTCGGGCGCCTCGTCCTGGTGTGAGTCGTTCGGGCCCCTCCTTGTGGTGTGAGTCGTTCGGGCTCTTCGTGGTGTGAGTCGTTCGGGCCCCTCGTCCTGGTGTGAGTCGTTCGGGCTCCTCGTGGGGCCTCTTGGGGGCCTCTTGGAGCCTCGTGGGGGCCTCTTGGGGGCCTCTTGGGGGGGGGCCTCTTGGGGGCCTCTTGGGGCCTCTTGGGGGCCTCGGGGGCCTCCTCTTGGGGGCCTCTTGGGAGCCTCTTGGGGACCTCTTGGGGCCTCTTGGGGGCCTCTTGGGGGCCTCTTGGAGGCCTCTTGGGAGCCTTCTGGGGGCCTCTTGGGGCCATCTTGGGGCCTCTTGCGACCTCCTCAGAAGCGCAAATGAGCGCTGGCCCCTGAGAAGGACAAAATGAGCCCAACACCTTCGTAAAATCAATGATTTTGCTATGAAGGAAGAGGAGCGCGGCCCCCGCAGAAGGCCAAAATGGGGCCCAAACCCTTGTAAAATCAATATTTGTTGCTTCAAAGACGGTCTGAGGCGCCAAACTGCCCCCCCCCCTTCGGGGCCAGAATCCTCGTGAGGGTAGTCGTTTTTTGGCCCTCCCAGGAGTCGAAAAAGACCCCCTTGACACCATTCGGAACTCCCTCTCCAGGTCCAGGGGGAGGGGGTAGGGGGAGGGGTAAACCCCTCCCCGAAGGGGAAGATGGGGGGTTGAGAACAGAGAGAGAGCTCTCTAAACCACTCACGGCCAAAGGGCTGGTGGGATATGCTGACAACCCCGCCGTCCTTATCAAAAACAATGCAAAGTGCTCGCGGGCCTCACGAACATGACTCAAGACTTTGCCCCAAAGTGGATTTTGTATTGTGTTTTGACAGGGACGGTGGGGGGGGCCGCATCGAGTTGGCCGCGCATGCTCCAAATGTGGAGGCAGAGTGCGTTTTGTATTGTGTTGTTCCCTACCTAGGCTCTGCCTAGAGGGTTCTTACTCGCTGGGCTGAAAGGGGCTGGGCAGTGTTCCTCGCCCCGGGCGGTTCTCCCAATATCCGCCCCGCGGTTCCCCCAGTTGCGCCCCCTTAGCTTAGCTTTGCCTATCTCATCTTCGCTTAGCCTAGCTTAACTTAGCTTAGCTTAGTCTAGCCTAGCTTAGCTTAGCCTAGCTTAGCTTAGCTTAGCTTAGCTTCGCCTAGCTTAGCTTAGCTCAGCTTAGCTTAGCTTAGCGCAGCATTCGCATAGCATAGCATAGTATAGCATGGCATAGCATAACATATCATATCATAGTATATCATATCATATCATAGCATAGCGCAGCATAGCATAGCATAGCATAGCCTATCATATCATAGCGCAGCATAACAAATCATAACATAGCAAATCATAGCTTAGCTTAGCATAGCACAGCGCAGCATAGCATAGCATAGCATAGCATACCCTAGCATAGCATAGCATAGCATAGCGCAGCACAGCATAGCATAGCATAACGCCGCATTGCATAGCATAGCATAGCATAGCGCAGCATAGCATAGCACAGCGCAGCATAGCATATCATAGCATAGCCTAGCATAGCCTAGCATAGCATAGCGCAGCATAGCATAGCATAGCATAGCATAGCGCAGCATAGCATGGCATAGCATAGCATAGCGCAGCATAGCATAGCATAGCATAGCCTAGCATAACATAGCGCAGCCTAGCATACCCTAGCATAGCATAGCATAGCATAGCGCAGCATAGCATATCATAGCATAGCATAGCGCAGCATAGCATAGCATAGCATTGCATCAAAGCAAAGGCAAAGCAACAGCAGCAACAGCAAAGCAAAGCACAAGCAACGCAAAGCAAAGCAATGCAAAAGCAAAAGCAAAGGAAAGGCAAAGCAAAAGCAATATGCGACAGGTGCCGAGTTAGCCTCGATGGCCGGACCGGAGCCCCTGCAAGCAGTGCTGAACAGCCTGCAGCTCTTGCAGGAGCCACGAGCAGTGTTGAACCTAGTGCAAGCAGTGCTGAACAGCCTGCAGCACTTGCAGGAGCCGCGAGCAGTACTGAACAGCCTGCTGCCGCTGGGTGCACAGGAAAGCAAGACAAAGCAAAGCGCAGCATAGCATAGCCTAGCTTAGCATAGCATAGCGCAGCATAGCATAGCATAGCATAGCATAACTTAGCTTAGCTTAGCTTAGCTTAGGCAGAGCAAAAGCAAAACCAAGCAAAAACAACAACAAAAGCAAAGCAAAAGCAACAGCAACAGCAAAAGCAAAAGTAAAGGCAAAGGCAAAAGCAATAAAACAATAGCAAAGGCAATGCAAAGCGAAAGCACAACCAATGCGACAGTGTAGATGTAGATTTAGATGTAGGTGTAGGTGTGGATGTGGATGTAGGTGTAGATGTAGATGTAGATGTACATGTAGGTGTAGATATAGATGTAGATGTAGATGTAGATGTAGATGTAGATGTAGATGTGAGTGTAGTTGTAGATGTAGGTGTAGGTGTAGGTGTAGATGTAGATGTAGATGTAGATGTAGATGTAGATGCATGTGTACATGTAGATGTAGCTGTAGGTTTAGATGTGGATGTAGGTCTAGATGTACATAGATGTAGGTATTAAACTGTACACCTACCATTACTACTACTACTACTACTACTACTACTACTACTACTACTACTACTACTACTACTACTACTACTGCTAGTACTACTACTACTACTACCACCACCACTACTACTATAACTACTCCTAGTACTACTACTAGTACTACTACTACTACTACTACTACTACTACTACTACTACTACTGCTGCTTGTGCTACCACTACTACTATAACTATTACGATTACTACTACTACTACTACTACTACTACTACTACTACTGCTAGTGCTACCACTACTACAATAACTACTACTCTAACTACTACTACTACTACTACTACTACTACTACTACTACTACTAGTACTACTACTACTACTACTACTACTCCTACTACGACTACTACTACTACTACTTCTACTACTACTACGACTACTACGACGACGACGACGACGACGACGACGACGACGACGACGACGACGACGACGACGACGACGACGACGACTACTACTACTACTACAACTGCGACGATGAGGAGAAGGAGGAGGACGGCGTTTACCGTTACTACTAATATTGCTCTTCTCGGGGCTCCGATTCCTAGGTCGGGTCGCTCTGGGATAATTTTTAATACAGTGATGATGAGGGGGGTGGCCCGCATGGGGGTGGCATGGTTCCGGCTTGGCCGCCGGCCGAGTGGGGGAGGGGGTGTATATCAATGGGGACAGTGATCAAATCTTTCCCGAAGGGGAAGAGGGAGGGGTTGGAAGAGAGTCCGCTCTAGACCACCTACGCCCAGACGGCTGGTGGGATTTGGGGTCCGGGCGCCTAAAGAACCCTCAGGATCGAAGACTGAGACTCAGGGGATGGAACGAGGGACCTGAGGACACTCAAGCTCGTGCCTCGAGACACGGTGGCGGATATGCAGCATCTTGTACTCGGGAGCCCGACGGATCTTGGGAACAAAGCCTTAACGTTCCCACGCGAGTTCTCGGCGGGACCTGAGACTAGGAAAATAAGTAGATGTGAGGGATCATTCGAATCACAAAAAGCGACATAAACCACACGTTTGGAGATCCGCGCGGGGTTCTTAGATCAGCGCTGGGGGCCCGCGCGCCAGGGTGGGGGATCCAACGCCGATCCAAGAAATCCGCGCGGACCTCCGAAAGTTTGTGGTTTTACATTTCATTTAGAGCACGGAGAAAAGACTCCGGCAGCGGGCAACGGAGGAGGAGGCGGAGGAGAAGGAGGAGGCGGAGGATGATGATGAGGAGGAGGAGAAGGCCCTGATGCTCCCAACCCCCGCGCGAGGGTGGGTATGCTCGCCATGAGCCTTTTGGTGGCCTCTTCGCTGCTGCTGACCCTGCTGGACAGGCTCTCGGGCTGGCGCCCGCTTCGCTCTCCCTGCCCTTCCCTCCTCTCCCCTCCCCTCCACCCCTCTCCATTCCTCCTCGCCCTACCCTCCCCCCCCCTTGCTCCACTTCTCCCGTTCCACAATTACACAATATGATTACTACTCTCATCTCTCCCCTGACTCTGTCCAGAGAGTGTCCCGTCCTCCCCGCGTATTTCTTATATTCTCAGGATTTCATTGTGTTGTGTTCTTCTGCGTTTTTGTTCAATCGGGTGCTTTCCGTTTTTTTCAACATGGTGTTCCCGCTGCAGCGCCGCCTTCATTTCCGCGCTTGGGTCATTCAAAATCGTGCTCCCGCTGCAGCGTTGGCCTCGTTCCACTGCTGCGGTCCTTCCAGATCGTGCCCCCGCTGCAGCGGTGGCCTCATTTCCGTTTTCGGTCCTGGCCTCGTTCCCGAGCTCCAGCAATTCTACACCCGTGCTCCTGCTGCAGCGCTGGTCCATTCCCGATTCTGCGAATAGATAGGAGATTTACGCCATGGTGAGGGATAAGAGGGAGAGGGAGGACGTCAGATGTGACGCCAGCGCACCTAGCTGGCCCCCCACCCTCCTCGCCCTCCCCCTTTGCTCACCCTTCGCTCCCACCTTTCCCGCACGGCTTGCCTCGGGGTTGGAGCCGGTGTGCGCGCACTCCAGGTGTGCCATGCTCTCTCCCCTGCGTTTCCGAAATTTGAGAGACTACGGAACCATGAATCAGAGCGGACGAGCAGATCAGCCTTTCCTCCTCCTCCTCTTCCTCTTCCTCCTCCTCCTCCTCCTCCTCCTCCTACTACTGCTGCTACTACTACTACTACTACTACTACTACTACTACTACTACTACTACTACTACCACTACTACTACTACTACTACTACTACTACTACTACTACTACTACTACTACTACTACTACTACTACTACTACTACTACTACTACTACTACTACTACTACTACTTACTACTACTACTACTACTACTACTACTACTACTACTACTACTACTACTACTACTACTACTACTACTACTACTACTACTACTACTACTACTACTACTACTACTACTACTACTACTACTACTACTACTACTACTACTACTACTACTACTACTACTACTACTACTACTACTACTACTACTACTACTACTACTACTACTACTCGAACGAACCCTTGTCAGGCCATTCCTGCCTTTCCACCCGCCTCTCTCCCGCTGCCTCTTGGGCTCTTAGCCTGGCCAGGCTTAGCGCCCGCATACGCTTAACAACACCGCGTACCGCATACATCGCTTTGGTAAAACAGAGCGCGCCTTCTCTTATCTTTCATTCCCTACATGTTACTCTAGTTGGTAGCGGAGCTTCGGCTCCCTGCCACGATGTTCCATTCTTCTCGCGTCATCTCGATGAAGACGTTCTCCCATTCTGTCTACATGAACCTTGTGTTCATCCGCATATCGAGCAGCACGCTCATCAGTATAGCGTTGTACCTTTGCTCCCCGCGCGGCGCGGCACGGAACCCGATCCCTCCGCAGGAACCCGGCGATCCGGGAGCAGGCGCGACCATCCTGTATAAGTAGGACCACCAGAAGATCGACGACGGCACCCGGCAAGACGGCGCCGGGGAGGGAGGGCGGGAGCGCGAGCTTGTTTGGGATGTCTCAATGAGCCCGGTGCGCGGCGCCATGACCGAACCGTGCAATCACTCCATGAGTGCCCCGTACGTCCCGAAAGAGCCAGATGCGATCATGTCGCAGGCAACCCCGGAGTCCCAGATGTCATGGTATTCGCCTGTGGAGATTGTTGGCAACGTTAGTCTTGGGATTTTCTCCGAGCCCCTGCTATCAGTGTCAGAAGAGAGTCCAGGGGGAACGCCTACGGCTGCGACTACGCCGACGGCTACTCCGAGCACGCCTACGGCCACGAAGACTACGCCTTGGGCTACAATGTCTTCGCCTATGGCTTTGCCTACGCCTACGACCTCGTCTACGCCTACAGCTACGACGACGGCCCCCACGGTGACTTGGGATGTGCGCGGCGCCAGTGGCCCGCAGAGTTGGACGGCCGCCGACCGACCCCAACCTGCGCGGCGCTGCCCAGGCCCAAAGAGGAGGGCGCCCCATGGGCACCCTCCTCGACAAGACCGAGCCTGGGGCAGCCATCCAGCATCGCAACTGGCCGGAGCCCGAACCCTTCGTCAAGTTCAGCGCCCAGCGCCAGCAGCAGTACAAAATTGGGGAGACGATCGCTCACGGCGCGAATCTCCCGCATCGCTGGCGCGACGACCCTTTGGTGAACCTCGATCCCGAGGAGGCCGACGAAGCAGAACATACCAGGGACCACTATCCGCGTCGACTCCGAGGCAGCCTGCCGGAGCGCCGACGATGGTGGATCCCAGTCTGCGAAGCTATGGGGATGTTGCCGAGAGGCCTCAGCCGCAGGCGGGCGCAGCTCATGGCTGGGGCCCTGCTTGCCATCTCCTGCTTATCCTGCGTGGATGCAGGCGGGGGCGGCAGCGGCGACATCCGTCACCTCCGGACCTGGGGGCCCGAGCAGCAGGCTCGCGTGCCCTTCAGTCGTTGGGCCCGGGAGGTGACGTCTGGTCTGTCGCGAACTCCGACGTGAACGAGTTCCGGCAGGCGGCCTACGTCGCGTCGCGCCTCGCCGGCATGGCGCGCGAATGCGTCGACGAGTGGCCGCCCGAGATCCTCATCCAGGGAGGTATCATCAACGGGCAGCCGGTGTCGCCGATGACCTTCTTGATGCACAGCTTGGCCGAGCGCTGGGGCCAGCTCGGGGGGGGGGGGGCGCACCGCCGCAGCGCAGGCTCGTGGGTTTCCACCGCCAGCCCGGGGGGCGCGTCGTCGACCTCCTCGCGCGGTTCGACATCGTCCGCAACCGAGCGCAGCAGGCCGGTCAGCTGACGGTCGGCTTCGAGGGGGTCAGCTTCTTGCACCTCCGCGCGCGCGGCGTTGGCGACAGTCGGCTGCTCATGGTCCTCCAGCGTTGCAACGTGGCCTACCCCTCCAACGCGCAGCAGCTGCAGCGCATGACCAATCAGCTGCGCCGCGTCGGCCATATGGTGGAGAACTCGCCGGGGAACCTCTCCCAGGCAGTTCGTGCCAGAGGAAACCAGGCGTTCCTGGCCACTCCTTCGCCGAATGACCCCAGCAGATTCCATGATGACGCTGGCGGTCTGAGCCTGGGCCACCAAGGGCCTCCGGCGCCATGGGTGCAGTCAGCCCTCCCGAGCCTAGTGAGAGCAGCAGCCATGCCGAAGCTCCCCGCCAGCAGGAGGCCTACCCAGCCGGCGGGGTCGACTCCGGCACCGACTCGGGCTCGGACACAGCGTCGAGCTTCGGCGAGGAGATCAGGGAGGGCGACCCCGAGCTCCAGCGCGTCCCCGAGGACCAGCGCGCGGCTCACCCCTTCTGGGCCTACGAGCGCGCCAAGAGCAGGTGGCGTCGGTTCAACAATTACAAGCCGACCCGCCGAGTGCGCCGAGTCCTCAAGCGAAAGGGGAGAGTAAAGGCCGCGTCAAGGGCCACACCTACCGCGCGCACCTGGACGACGCCACGGTCCGGGAGACCTTTATGGGCTTCGGGAAGGGCAAAGGTAAGGGAAAGGGGGAGCATCGGACCAGCGGCGTGGGCATGGGCAGGTCCGGCAATCCCATGGGCCCAGACGGGCAGCGCCTCAAGTGCCACGAGTGCGACTCGGAGGGGCACCTCGTGCGCGACTGCCCTCGGCGACGCCGGCATGGCGGCCGGGCCCTCTACCTGAACACCTACCTCCCTTCATCGTCCCCTAAATCATCTACGTCGCCATTGACCTCTCTTGGGCAATCAGGCCCACCTGAGCCATCAGCGCAGATGCCCAGGGCGAGTGCTCACCAGGCGTGGATGGTCAGGGGCGCCGCGGTAGGGGCAACCAACGACCATGTCGGCGGCTCTCCTGGCCAAGGTGATCCATTGCAGGGCGCTGATCCGTGGAGCGGAGGCCGGCCGGCGCCGATGACCGCCTCCCGCAGACCGCAGACGCCGGGGTCTGACGGTTCCCGGCAGCAGGTCGGCCACAGTCAGCGGAGCCAGGGGTCATCATCGCGCTCTGGCGGCCCAGCAGCAGCAGCCTCGGCCCCCCCACTTCTTCTCCGAACCCTCTCGAGGATGAAATACGACGACTACGACAGGAGATGGAGGCAATGAGGCAGCGTACCCAGCAACGGCAGCCTGCCGCCGGAAAATCCGACCACGTCGGTGAATCCGCGGGCCCAGCACCAGCACGGCCAGCACCAGCAGCCCCACCGGCAGCGCCGCGGCAGCCAGCGCAGCAGCAGCCGCAGCAGCCGCAGCAGCAGCGACCTCAGTGGCACGTTGGCGCCGCCTTCCCTGTGGGAGCTGATTGGATTGGTGACCTCAATGCTCGCGCGGCCCCACTGCCTGAGCTACCGCGGGGCGTTGAGCTGCCGAACTGGGCGTACATGCCCTCAGTATCGGCCCTCGGCATAAGCGCGCCATGCGGTCCGAGCGCCACGTGGCCTCCGCGTGCCGCGCCGAGTCCGGAGTCCCCAGCGGCTCCAAACTCCCCTGAGATGCTGCCGCTCTTCGGCAGGAGTGCCACAACGCCGTTGGACCTGACGCAGCGCTCAGGGGGGATCGCGAGCTGGATCGCCCGGCGGGAACAGTGGCAGCAGCAGAACAGCCGCTCTGGCATCTCAGTCGCGATGGTGGAGACGACCCTGGACGCGACCCGGCGGCGTCCAGACTGGGAGCTCAGCAACGCGCGGAGCACGCTCGAGGAGCTGAGGGGCCACGAGCAGGCGATGGGGGAGGCAGTCGCAGCAGCCGCAGCCTCAGGCGCCTCCACCGCCGCCTCGGCCGCCTGTGGCGTCCTTCGACGGCGACGACACCAGCTGCCCCATCTGCCTCGGGGCGCGCGTGCACGGAGCTGCAGTGGCACGGTTGTAGCGCCGCCGCGTTCTCCACCAAGGCTGTC